ATCGATGCAAACCTTGGACCCACAACCAGGTTGACACCTTCAAGCGCCGCCGCGCCGCAGAGTTGAAGCACGGCCGCATTTGCGCCTTGGAAGTTGTGACTGGAGCGACGCTAAATTGAGTGGTTTGATTCAAATCATGTCCTCCATTGTCCACATCTGCGATTTCTTGGCAACGGATTTCAGTTGTATGTTTCTACCAGAATTCGATGTCTCGGCCATTAACCAGATTGATACCAAACAGCATGCCTTGCTATGTCTTGCCGAGGCATGTTGGCCTGCGTGTCTTGGCAAAACTAGTCTCAAAACCAAAAACAACTGAGAGATGTAAAATAGTTTGGTCACATGCAGCATGGCATCCAGAGCAGTTTTTATGGAACACATGAACAGTCGGTCATATGAGGTTGGCTACATCGTGCCAGAGTACTTCCGCTGGCCCGGCTACCTGTCCCCTGAGAAGGGCATCAAATTTGCTGACATGCCTCATGGCATTGCAGCAATCTCCAAGGCGGGTTAGCCTTTCCTGCATGAAACTGTGTTATGTGAGAGGGTCTACAGATAGCAAGAGCTGGCCGTTGGGAGTGTCGATGAACGTATTGCAATGGTGGTTAGTTTAGCCATGTCAAGTCCATGACGGTTTGGAAGAACAGAGGTTGATGATGTTGATGGATGTTGGATGTTTTTTTTTCAGGCTTTCCCATGGTTTTTGTGCGGTTTTCCACCCGAACCAAGACCCAACTGTTCTGTTTCAGGTGCCTCTGGAGGGTTGGGTTCAGATCGTGCTCTTCTTGGGCCACTATGAGGGCTACTTCTGGCGCCAGGACCCCAAGCGTGCCCCAGGTGACTATGAAGGCGCAACTGGCTCGGATGTCGTGCTGGAACAGGGAAACGACATGATGTGAAGCTTCCAAAACCATCACCTATCAAAGAAGAAGTCATCCTGTGAGAATCCCAACCTACTGAACCAGGCACGTCGCTGTTGATTTTTGCGTCTAAGTGAAATCACCCGGAGTCAACAAGTCACAAATTTTGGTCCAAAAGCTTGTCCTGAGGTTTCTGAGTTCCAGTGATCTGCCTGGCCAGACTGCTTTGAATTGGTGTTGGCTAGGGTTGTGCTTCATCTTTTTGGTCTCATCTTGTTTTCTGAAACAAAAGGCTCCGTGTGATTTCAGTACGAGCGGGACAATGGGAGCAACAGACCACCTTGTTGGGTGTTCACATATGAATCATATGAAGCGATAGAATCGGTATGTACATTCATTGGTGAATAAGAAACAACAACGCATATGAATCATATACACATATGAACTATCATACGGACACACACACACATACACACACGCACAAGCACACGCACACGCTGACATACATGTCCACTGCAAACTATATATATATATATACACACACACACACATTTGTGTACAGTACATATATATATACATATTAATATATGTACGTAAGGAATCCCAACAATAAAATCATGACCACTAATCACTTTCCATTGTAGCCATGTTCTCAAAACACCAAACTGCGCAGGCTACGGCTTCCTGGGTGCGGGCAAGACTCATGGCTGCGATGGTGGAGGTTGTTGTGCCATTGATGGGATTGAAGATAAGTGAAGGGAGATATGGGGATGGATCAATACCTATGAATTACCATAGTTGGGAAAGATGAACATCTATGACTACCAACCATTTTGGGATTCACCAGAGTATCAGGTTTTCAAACGTACCGTGACGAGCAAGCACGATTTTTTTCATGATGGGTCATGGTATACTTTCCTACCAGTCTCTCTACATATACACATTTGACATACATGTATAATCAATTATAATCATGTATACATATGTATGTATTTTTGTACAATGTACATATGTATATATATATATATATACACACATTATAGGCTAGGGAGCTCAGTGGCTCTTAGTCAGAGACATGTGGCTCACAGCCAGATCTGGCCGAGGAACTTCATCTTTAACTTTGACCCCATTGAGTTCAAGGATCCTGAGGCGTGGATGGTGCTTGAAACACCTATCAGTAAGAGATGATCCATGTAATCGATGTATGTACATAAATATGACTCAATATCTGTATATATCTGTCTATGCGTCCATCTGTCTGCCTCTCCACCTACCTACCTACCTACCTACCTACCTACCTACCTAGGTAGCCTAACCTAACCTAACCTAACCTAACCCTACCCTACCTACCTACCCATCTATCTACCTAGCTATCTAGCTATCTAGCGATCTAGCGATCTATCTATCTACTATCCATCTATCTACCTACCTATCTATCTATCTATCTATCTATGAGTCACTGTAACTACGTATAATTATAAGTGCCAAGATTCAACATATGATAACATGCAGATATCAAAGGTGAGTACTCAAGTGATATCCACCCATTGCATGGCTTGCACTGGCTAGGTGAGGAAAACCAAGCTGTCGGCCGAGATTGCCAACGGCCGCTTGGTCACTGGGCAGCAATCATTCCATGTACTGCCGCGATACAAGTGAGGTATGCATCAGGTACATGAGGTACGCATATGGGTTTCTACATTTTAACTAGATACTCAGACACAATATAATTACAAAAATGGACAAATAGATAGACAACTATATGCACATAATAATATGTACCTTTACAGGAATATATTTGACTTTTTACATGTACACATCACATCAATCCAACCAGGATCCCCACAGCCTCAGGCCATGGTTGCCTTGATGGCAATGCTCTTCCAAAACGGCACAGTGGGCACCACCGGCCCTGCAATGTGGCTGCCTGCTGCCTAGGTTGGGATCTGGGGGTTTGTGGTTGCCAATGATTATGCTTATGAATGATGATTAGTGATTGTTAATGATTATAAATTTAAATGCTTATGCTTAATGATTAGTGATTATTAATGTGTATCAATGTACATCTTATATATCTATATTGACACACACACACAATTATTCATATAGATCTGACCTCTTGTCCAAAAAATATGTGGTTGGGAATGGGCTTGACACTGAGCAGGTTAGAGCTGCCAGCAGCTACGTTTCCATCTCCACTTGAACTTGAACATGCAGTGAGTCGAAAAGAGTTTGCTGCGCTGGTCGGGATTCCTCATCGCTGATGTGCCGTGAAACCATAGCTGCCATAGCTGATCTTTGGACGATGGCTTCTGATGGGATTTTTGTCCCTATCCATTCTTACGCATTCAGACCCGCATATCGTCCTGTGCATGAATGTTGAGTTGTAGCTCGTTATACCCAGTCGCTTTGCCGTACAAGATCGCCTGCCATTTCATTGGACAAATTGCGATCATGAATACAACGCTGTCAATATGTGCTGCCAAGATCCAGTCTAGTCACTGGTTCCCAAATACCACACGCAACGCCGTAAGACCAGTTAGCCAATTGGCCAATTACTCAGTGCTGTCAGATATTCATTTTCCGCCTTGCCACT